TGCAGGAAGTACCATCAGGCATTTTCTAACCGACTACTTCTCCGACTCAGAAACCAGCTGCTTGCTCTACTCTCAGAACAAAAGAAAGGTAACGCTAAAAGTAACAAAATCACACTGAACAAAGCATTTCTTGAATCGGGAACAATCTCAAAAAACAGCTGGATCAATTTACACACTAAGTACCTGACCAGGACTAGTGCCGTGGCACAGCAGGTTGAGCCACCACGTGCAGCGTCAGCATCCCATGTGAGCGCTGGTTCGAGTCCTGGCTGCTGCACTTCTGATCCAGCTCCCTGCGAATGCACCTGGGAGAGCAGCAGAAGACGGCCCCAGTGGGAGACCCACATGGAGCTCCAGGCTCCTGGCTTCCGCCAGGTCCAGCCCCAGCCTTTGAGGCCATTTGGGGAGTTGAATCAGCAGATGGAAGTTCGCTCTGTCTCTCCCTCTCTAACTCTCCCTTCCAAATAAACAGACAAAAATAAAACTTATATTATATATATGTATATAAAAAGAAGCACCTGGCTAAAGATAGCTAACTCAAAGTTAAAATGTCAACCAATACAGAAGGATTATAAACTCAGCAGGAAACACAACATCAGTGTTTTTACTTCTTCAATATTAAAGCAACTTAGAGAAAACAGACTCCAAAAAAAGACAGGGTTCCATCACAGGCCAAAGTCCTTGCAGAGCTGACATAACCTGGAGACACCACTCGCTGTCTCAGAACTCCGGAGGACCAGAGGAACCACACGGCTAACAGTGCCAGCAAGGCTTCCCCAGGGCAAGCCGCACACAAAGCAGTGTCCGGGGCGAGTCCACCGCCGGCCTCGGCCACACAAACGACTCCCATCTGCAGTGGAACAGACACATGGCTGTTCAGGCCCCAGCCCAGCAGACACGCCGCAGCCATCCTCTAGGGCCACCCTGCTGACAGCAGCCTTCAGTCACACATAAGTCTCAGGGACGTGCTGTCCGACCCAGGGTGACAGTCCAATTTCTGCTTTTTCCAGCAGGTAACACTAGCCCGTCTTGCACACTCATGAGGTTAGGATTTAAGGGATGACCCTGTCATCAATTTACAGAAACTGAACTGAACAGTCCAGACCCAGAAACACTGCTCTTCATCACCACATTGCAGGACGCACGGGGCCTCGGCAGGTAAGGGGGACACGGCAGAAGCAGTGCAAACTTCCCTAAAAGTCTCCCGAAAGGAACCAGCTCTGCAGACAACCGCCATCTGCACTCACAAGCTCCCAGAAGGTGTCCTCGCCAGTGTCCCTCGGTTCTTTCCTTTCCTCAGCCCTTCGGCTGTGCTCACCCCATCTCATGAGTTTTAAATACTATTTAGGACTCCACAAGGCCACCGGGTGTCAAAGCACGTGACACAGGGGCCAGTAATACACGCACTACTTGCTTACAGGTGCACAAAATATATCTTTGGAAGAATATCCAAGAAACAGCCAACACTGACCAGCTCCAAGGAAAACTGACTGACGGGGACAAGTGGAGGCAGAGTTGAACTCCACACGCTTGTGCACAGTTTACACTTTCAGCCACAAGAACACAGCTTTTATTCAAAACAGAAGCACTCCCACAGGCACATGCTGATGGCCCTGCCCCACCCCGCTCTCTGCATCAGAACTCAGCTCCAGGAGCTCCAGGTCTGTCTCTCACTACTGGGTGCACGCCGCCTGCTCTGCAGCTGGTGCCTGCAGAACTTCTGCGGGACGAAGTAGACTCCAGCTGCCCGCGTCTCACCTCCACCTGCCCAGCTAGGCCCAGGCCGGCACAGGCGCTCCAACTCCACCCCACCTACCAAGCGGCTTCCCTCGGCTCTTCCCCATCCCGCATCCCATCTCCGCTGAAGCCAAAGACCCGGAAACCACCTCTGTCCCCACCGCACCGCACCCTCCTGCAAACCGCAAGTCCAGTGCGTCTTCGCGGCCAATCTCTCAACACTCTCCGGCCACGCCCTTCCCACTGCTTCTCTGCCCTTCTCCAATCTCCCGTCAGCCTAGCTTTTTAAAAAGCTCTGGGGCCAGCGCTGTGGCTCAGCGGGTTAAACAGCCCCTTGCAAGGCCGGCATCCCATATGGGCGCTGCCGGTTCGTGTCCTGGGAGGCAGTGGATGATGGTCCAAGGGCTTGGGCCCCTGCCACCCACGTGGGAGCCCTGGAGGGGTTCTGTGCTCCCAGCTTTGGCCTGGCCCAGCCCTGGCTTGTGCGGCCATTTGAGGAGTGAATCAGCAGAGGGAAGATCTCTCTCAGTAACTCTTGCTTTCAAATAAATCAGTAAAACTTTTTAAGATTTATTTATTTATTTGAAAGAGTTACAGAGAGAGAGAGAGAGATCTTCCATCTGCTGGTTCACTCTCCAATTGGCCACAACACCGGAGCTGTGCTGATCTGAAGCCAGGAGCCAGGAGCTTCTTCCAGGTCTCCCACGTGGGTGCAGGGGCCCAAGGGCTTGGGCCATCTTCTACTGCTTTCCCAGGCCACAGCAGAGAGCTGGGTCACAAGTGGAGAAGCCGGGACTTGAACCAGCACCCGTGAGAGATACCAGCACTGCGGGCGGCAGCTTTGCCAGCCCCAAATCAGTAAATCTTAAAAGTAAAAATAAAAAGTTTCAACAGGTCTTTGGTGTGCTTTAACAATAAAAGCCAAACTCCTTGACAGTGAGATAAGGACTCACATGACCTGCCCTCTGGCTATAACCTAAACATTTTTATTCATTTGTTCCAAATGCAGAGTGAGAGACAGAGAGGGAGGGAGAGGGAGGGAGAGGGGGGGAGGGGGAGGGAGGGGGAGGGAGGGGGAGAGAGAATCTCCCAGCGCTGGTTGGTTCACTCCCCAATGGCCACAACAGGCAGGGCTGGGCCAGGCCAAAGCCAGGAGTCAGGAACCCCATTCCGGCCTCCCATGTGGGTGCCGGGGCCTAAGCACTTGGGCCATCCACCGCTGCCCAGCCAGGCGCCACCAGCAGGGAGCTGGATCACAAGTGGAGCAGCCGGCACCCAAATGGGTGTCCCCGTCCGATGCTGCTGAGGCTCCCACGGGGGCCGGCGGCCTGGAGCGGTTTCCAGGGCCACTCCTCCCCGGAGCACAGAGGGTCCTTCTCAGGCCCCGGTCAGACGTCCCCTTAGCGAGGCCTCCGCTGCCCAGCGGCTGCGGCCACTCCTCCTCCACTCCTGGGGCTGCCCTTACCCTGTCTTAGGCCGACTCTGCCCAGCCGGGAGGCCGCACACCTCCGGCCTCCAGCCTGCCGCACGACCCCCAACGAGCCCATCGCCCAGCAGCACTAACCCGGTGTTACCTTCGTTACCTGTACTGAAGGCAAAATTCACTTCAAATTAGGTCCAGGATGTCTGATTAGCGACCCACTGGCAAGGGTAAGAAAAAAAAATGTATATATATATAGAGATAGAGAGAGAGAGAGCGAGCGAGCGAGATTCAGTCTACTCCCACTAATAAAGCAATGAAAAGTGACCAGAGCCTGCAGAGTGGTGTTCCGGGTGCATGGGAACCCCTAAATACTCAAACAGGACCAGAAAGGGTATTTTTCACACATTATGTGCAGGCACGGTACAGACGTGTTGCTACCAAGAAACAGCACCTGAAAAGAAAAGGGAAAAGTGGGGGTACCTCAGAACCCGGGTGCAGTCACCGTGCACCCCTCCGGGAGGGCTGCGGAGCCCTGGAGGGGGCAGGGGAGGCCAGGCGGAGCCACTCGTGTCCGTGCCCTCAGAAACACTCCACGGACTCCAGGCTGCTCCCCCGCGCCCGCTGCGCAGTCGGGGGTCGGGGCGCTGCGCCGGGCGGGCCCGCGGGAAGAGCCCCCACAGCCCGCGGACGCGAGCCCGTGCCCCTCGCACGCGTCCCCGCGCGGGGCGAGCAGCAGGTGCGGCGGGCCGGACCCGCGGGGCTTCTCCCCCAGACCCCGGCAGCAGGCCCCGGCTGAGGCGCCCCCCGGGAGCCGCGCGGGCCGCGCGCAAGCCGGCCTCCCGCTCCCGGAGAGCACCGGGCCGCCGCTCCGGGGGCCGAGGCCCGCCGCCGAGGCCCCGCCACGGCCAGCGCGCCCGGGCGCCGCGGTCCCGGCCAGGCCGCCCCCTCCCCGCGCGAGCCCCACCCGGTCCCCAACTCCCCGCCGCCGCCCGGTTACCGGCAGGGGAGGCGTCCCGGCGCCGGCAGCTCCCGTCTGCACACGCAGGGCGCGGCGCCGGGGCCGCCGGCGGGACGGAGCCCCGGCGAGGACGCGGGCGGCGGCGGCGGCTGTCAGCTCGCGCCCCCCGCTCACCGCGCTGCCATTACTGGGCGCCCAGGCCGCCTCCCCGGCCGGCCGCCGCCACCGGCGCCGAGGGCGGGGGTGGGGAGCCGAGCCCGGGAGCCCGCGCGCCGCCGCTCACCTGCCGCGGCCGGGAAACGCAGCGAAGCCCGAGGCCGCCGCCGCCGCCGCTGCCGGGCGGGCCGGGGGCGGTGGGGAGAAGGCCGGGCCGGCGGCGGGATCGGCGGAACGCGCGTCCTCCGGGGCGCCCGGCTTCGCCCCCTACACTCACACACGCCCTGCGGCCGCCTTCTTCCGCTGCTCCCGAACCCCCCTCGCGGGAGCGATGGTACGGCCCGCGGTACGGCAAGCGCGGGGGACCAGCCTGGCGCGGGCGCGAAGGCCGCGGAGCCCGAGCTGCGGCGTGAGTGCTGCGAGAGCCGCGCGTGACGGACCCGCGCGTGTGGGTGGGCTGTCAGCGCGTTTTGCTCGCACGCGGCCTCCACCCCGCCCCTGCCCGCGGTCACCGTCCCCAGCCCCGTCGGGCCCGGTCGCGGAACCCCGAAAGCGCGGGCGCCTCCATCCGCGACTCCTCCACGCACAGCCGCGCGGGGACAAAAGTCGCCGGCGGCCCCCACGCGCGGGACGGACCTGCGCCCGGCACCTGCGCCCAGCGCTCCCGCCCCTGCCCTGGACGCCCCGAGAGCCATGGTGGGCGGGACGCCGGCGCTTGTCGCGCTCACTCTGCCTCCCTCTTTTTTTTTTTTTTTAAAAAAATATGATTTATTTGGGAAGCACAGTGACAGAGAGAGGTCTCCCATCTGCTGGTTCACTCCCCAGATGGCCCCAACGGCCAGAGCTGGACCAGGCTGAAGCCAGGAGCTCCTTCCGGGTCTCCCACGCAGGTGCAGGTCCTTGTCGGCTGCTCCTGGCTCACCCTAGCCGTCGGGGAGTGGACCAGCAGGTGGAAGACCCGTCTGTCTGTCTGTCTGTCTGTCTCTCTCTCTCTCTCTCTCTCTGTCTCCCCCCCATGTCTCCCTTTCTCCTCCTTCCTGTGTCTTCCTCTCTCTCCCTGTTAACTCTTTCAGATAAATAATTCATGTTTTAAAAAGCAGCGTGGACCCTCGCGTGCGCCCCTTCCTGGAGCTGTGTCGAGGACCAAGGCGGTGGGCGCGTCTGCCCTCGGGGTTCCTCGCCAGGGACAAAGTCCAGCTCTCCTGTGAACTCGCCATGTTGGGTTTGACAGCTTCCCTGATGAGTCTGTCGTGCTAGAAACACACGTGCCGACTTTTGCATGTTGTGTGATGGAATACGAGCCCCGTGGAAGGTCTGCAGGACTTGGTGCACCGGTGTTTTCCAAACAGCCAGGCAGGAGGTGACCAAATCAAACGTCGCTGGATACCAGATGGACCACCGGGCCAGCGTCATGGGTGAGCTGCTGCCAGCAGCACCAGCATCCTGTATCCGGCTCCCTGCTAATGCACCTGGGAAAGCAGTGGACGACGGCCCAAGTGCTTGGGCCCCTGCGCCCGCGTGGGAGACCTGGATGGAGCTCCAGGCTCCCAGGCCCAGCCATTGTGGCCATTTGGGGAGTGAACCAGTGGGTGGAAAGATTTTTCTCCCTCTGTCTCTCCTTCTCTTTGCAACCCTGCTTTTCAAGTAAAGAAATAAATCTCAAAAAAAAAAAAAAGAGAGAGAGAGACCAATGAATGGATATGGGAGGGTACTTCAGAAAATTTGTGGAAAAAATAATTTTCTTTTGGTGCAAAATTTTTTGAGATCTGTATGTATGTATTTTCCATAAACTATTTTTAAAAAGATTTATTTATTTGTGTGAAAGGCAGAGTTATGGGACAGGGGGGGAATCTTCCATCCACTGGTTCACTGTTGCAACAGCCTAAACTCTGCCAGTCTGGAGCCAGGAGCCAGGAGCTTCTCCCAGGACTCCCACATGGGCGCAGGGGCCCAAGCAGTTGGCCCATCTTCCACTGCTTTCCGAGGCATTGCAGAGAGCTGGATTGGAAGTAGAGCAGCTGGGACTCGAACCAGCACCCATATGGGTGCTGGAGCCGCAGGGAGCGGCTTTACTCAGAACACCAAGCACTGGTCCCTGCCATGAACTTTTTGATGACTCCTTGTATATGTGCATTTATAGGCACACATAAATTAATACAAATAACAAATATAAAATAATATAAAATAACAGAGTTCACTAATAGGGCTTCATATTCATTACTGCAACTAACATAGAAACTACCATCAAAAAAGAATGCCCATAGTTATTCAAAAACAAATTCTCCCTCTAAGTCCTGGGTTTCTTCGTATGCTTCAGTCATGGAAAATCCAGTTACTTTCTGTTAAGCCAAATATTTACTGATACTGACTGGCAAAAATGTGAGCCCAGGGCCATTCTTCTCACTGAGTTGTTTTAATTGGGCAGCCGTTGGCCACCACTTGAGACACCTGCATCCTGCATCCCGGTGCCGGGTTCAAGTCTCAGCTCCACTCTGAGTCCCACTTCCTGCTGCTGTGTAGTGAAAAAGCTAGTGATGGCCTGAGTGACTGCGTCCCTGCCACTCATGTCGGAGACCAGGATTGATTTCCGGGCTCCTAGATTCAGCCTGGCCCAGCCCCAGGTGCTGCAGGCATTTAGAGAACGAACCATAACTGGAAGATGTCTGTCCCTTTCTGCCTCTCTCGGCTTTGCAAGTATATATATATATACACACACACACATATATATATACATATATATATACATACATATAATTTGCAACATGTAAATTTTTGTAAGAGCATGCAATTTTGTTTTTGTTTTTGTGACAGGCAGAGTGGACAGTGAGAGAGAGAGACAGAGAGAAAGGTCTTCCTTTTCCATTGGTTCACCCTCCAATGGCCACCACGGTCGGCACACCGCGCTGATCCGATGGCAGGAGCCAGGTGCTTCTCCTGGTCTCCCATGGGGTGCAGGGCCCAAGCACTTGGGCCATCCTCCACTGCACTCCTTGGCCACAGCAGAGAGCTGGCCTGGAAGAGGGGCAACCGGGACAGAATCCGGCGCCCCAACTGGGCTGGCGCTGCAAGGCGGAGGATTAGGCTACTGAGCCGCGGCGCCGGCCAAGAGCATGCGATTTATAGTTTAAATATTTTGGTTTATTTTTTAAGTTAAGCACCATTAGCATTCTCTCTCTTCTGGTGGACCCTGGCGTGGCGTGCAGATGTCTGTGTCCTACGGGCGTTCCTGGGAGCGATGTCCTGCTCTGAGTGCTGAGTCACTCTGGGAGGCGGCCCGGGAAGCTCCGCTAGCTGGGCTCCTGCCACACAGGTAGGAGATCTGGGTGGAGCTGCAGGCGAAGGAGCTCTGTTTCTGTGCCTTGCAAACAGGGGAACGTTTCTCTTTGAAGCTTCTAGCACAGTGGCTACAGGTGGGTTTAGGCCATGTGTGCATGAGCCCTTGGAGGGCAGTCACTGGTCAGTGCCGGGGAGACCTGGCGTCTGAGAAAGCCGCTCTGACTCGAGAGCGCCCCCTGTCTTCCCGTGCGCCTCTTAGTCTCGGATGGAGCCGGGGCAGCCCAGCATCCCCAGCTACAGCACCCCAGAGGTCTCCCCACCCTTAGCTCACCCAGACGGTGTGCCACGGGAATGCGGCTTCTAGAAAGGTCGGAAGCAGCCAAGCCCTTACAATTCAGTGAAAATTACTTCTTCCTTTCAGAAAAAAATCATCCTTTCTGACACCCTCTAAGCCACTACTTGTAGCAGTAGTTAGACCGAGGGGCCAGCTCTGTGCTGTAGTAGGTTAAGCCATTGCCTGCAGTGCCAGCATCTCGTATAGGTGCCAGTTTGAGTCCCGGCTGCTCCTCTACCGATCCAGCTCTCTGCTGTGGCCTGGGAAAGCAGTGGAAGATGACCTAAGTCCTTGAGCCTCTACACCCCCTGTGGGAGACCCAGAAGAAGCTCCTGGCTCCTGGCTTCACACTGGCCCAGCTCTGGCTGTTGTGGCTAGCGGGGGAGTGAATCAGCGATGGGAGACTTCTCAATCGTTGTCTCCTTCTCTTTCTGTAATGCTGCCTTTCAAATAAAATAAATAAATATTAATTTTAAAAAGTTAGACCTAACCTCATTACCACGCCAAAATGCTGATTCACCCATAAACCCTTTCTTTGTTTGGCTTTTTAGCAAACACTATATGTAAAAAATGTGTTTGGGCCTTGTATAATATTTATTTAACTCTTATAATTTCTTCTAATTTCAGAAAGTAATGCCAGTGTTATAGGAACAGATCACCATGTTTAGACTGAGCATTTCTCTTCAAGGTATTGTCCATGACCCCAATTAATTTTTTTAATTGCATTTATTGTGTACTACATGATTTAAAAAAATATTCATTTTACTTATTTGAAAGGCAGAGTTACAGAGAGGGAGAGGGAGAGAAAGAGAGTGGGTGAGAGACAGAGAAAGAGAAGGAGAGAGAGAAAGAGATCTTCTACCTGCTGGTTCACTCCCCAAATGACCACAGTGGCCATGGCTGTGTTGGGCTGAAGCCAGGAGCCTGGAGCTCCATCTAGGCCTGCCACATAGGTGGCAGAAACGCAGGACTTGAGCCATCACCTGCTGCTTCCCGGTGTGCGTTCAGAGGGAGCTAGAATCGGGAGGGGAGCCGTGACTCAAACCAGGCACGCTGGGTCTGGGATGTGGTGCCCCCAGCGAGGGCAACACTCAAACGCTCCTCCCTATCTTCTTCTTTGTATTTCTTTGCACTCACAGTTGCACAGGTTGACAAAGCTGTTGACAGAGAGCTGCTTTTGATGAACAAACCCACACCTTCCATTGTTTGAAACAGATGACACGGTTACGATTTCGCAGACCTGAAGCTAGAGAAGAAATCTGAGGAGCAGGCTAGAGGAATCATAGGAGGTATGTGAAGGACGGGAAGTGGCGTTTTTCTGGCGTGTTACGTTAAAACCGTGTCATACGAAGAGTAAGCCGTGAATCTCAAGCCCCCGGGGCAGGTGACCACAGACAAGATGGAAGAACTCACGACTTGATGAGGATCAGTCACGTAGGCTGTCCCGTGCGAGCGGAGACAGAGCAAGGCAGGCCGAGTGTGGCAGGGGTGCAGGCAGCTATGCAATGGTAAGTGGCGGAAAGACAGTTGCTAGGCCTTCGTGGCGGTCGATCATCACGGAAAGCAGGCAGTCGATGCTGTTCACTTGCGCTGTGTGGTGCCAAGTGCTGGGGCATGCACAGCGTCATTGTTAGAAACAGCAGGTGCCTTGGTGAAGCCACTGCTTGGAAAACCTGCATCCCAGAGCAAAAGGCCGGTTCAAGTCCTGGCTTCTCCACTTCCCATCCCTCTCCCTGCCAAAGCGCCTGGGAAGGTGGCAGGTGATGACACAAGGACGTGGGCCCCTGCCACGCACATGGGAGACGCAGATGGAGTTCCTGGCTCCTGGCTTTGGCCTGGCCCAGCCCTGGCTGTTGCAGGCATTTGGGGAGTGAACCAATCAGTCCCTCTCTGTTACTCTGCCTTTCAAATAAATAAAGTGAAAGAGCTCTGCAAGATTGTGCAGAGCTGTAAAATAACACGCTCACGTACAGGGAGGTTAGGAGCCTTGGCCCAGGACGGACGCCTTTTCAACACATAGAGTGTGTGAGTCAAGCGAGTCAAAAAAAAAAAAGAAAAGAAAGAAACTGACCCTCATTAACCTTATGGTTTACTTGACCGGGCGTCTGCAGGGAAGCAAAGGAGACGAATGCGTTGTAGAGTTGTTTAACAGAGTTCGATAAAATATTCACGTATAACACCAGCTTTCCCCCTAAAGCTCTCAACATCTCACTTCCAGAAAGGTGTCTTTTGCTGTTGAGAGAGAGAGAGAGAGAGAAAACAGACATCCACAATATGTAGTCTTAGAAATTAGAGTCCGTGCCACACGCTCAGCAGAACTGAAATGGGGGGCGGGGTTGGGGTTGTGACATAGCGGGTGAAGCCCCGCCTGCGGTTCTGGCATCCCACTTGGGCACCGGTTTGAGTCCTGGCTACTCCACAGCTCTCTGCTGTGGCCTAAGAAAGCAATGGAGGTTGGCCCAAAGGCTTGGGCCGCTGCACCTGCGTGGGCTCCTGGCTTCAGATCGGCCCAGCTCCGCTGTGGCTGTTTGGGAGTGAACCAGCTGATGGAAGACCCCTCAACCTCTCTCTCTCTCTGCTTCTCTGTAACTCTGCATTTCAAAAAAATAAATAAATAAATCTTTAAAAAAGAAACAGAAATGAAGTGGGGATACACGGTGGGTCTCTGGGAACTGCACCCGCGTGACAGCAGACGCCCTGCAGCCCGGCTGCTCCTCCCAGTCCCCTGGTGACTGGTGAGGGACACAGCAAGCAGGAGGCAGGCTCCCCCTGCAATGCTTCACACGTGTTCTGTTGTTCTGGATTGTTTTCTCTTAAAATGAGCCTACAGTAAGATTGACTGGAGACGGAGTTATACGACTGTGGATTTCACACAGTGATGTCACAGCCGGATGCACACTTGTCCCTTCTCCCTCTTGTGTTGTTCTCTTACGTCACTGCTGCTGTTTGCATGGAGTTTCTTCCCAAAAGGGTGGTGCTCTGGAGAGTTGGGCACCAGTTGAACTGTGCTGAGAGGTGGCGGAGCCTTTAAGGGGTGGGGCCTAGTGGCACCACCCTCATGAATGCATGAATGTTTTCCTGGGTTGGTTGGGTCTTTCTAGACCGGATCAGGTCTCCTGGGAGTGAGTAAGGCCTCCTGGGACTGCAGTGCTATGAGAGTGGATTACCAGGAAGTGAGTCAGCCTGGCTGTCTCTCCCGCACAAGCTGCTTTATGCCAGGAGGCCCCTGCAGAAGCTGTGCGAGTGCCAGGCCCGTGCTCTTGGGCCTGCCGCACCGCGAGCGAGATAAGCCTGTCTTCATAAGTGACTCAGCCCCCGGTGTTTTGTTACAGCACCAGGAAGTGAACTTCGCTTCCTCTCCGGGTCACCGTGGGTGCTCGTCCATGTCCTTCCTCTCCTAAGTTTTTCTCTCTTCTCTCAGGCATTTCTGATGTGTGCCTTAGAACAGAACCGGGGAGAGGACAAGGCTTCCATCCGTGCCGGGTCTCCTGGTGGTGAGAGGAAGAGCAGGAGGAAACGGGGAACGCAGGGCCCTTCCTTGGGTCAGATGTGCGGCCTTGCGTAGCGTGCAAGGGGGTCCCAGATCCCACCTCCAAAAGCAAGCTGACGAGCTTCCAGTCCCCACTCACACAAGGGAACAGCAGCTAGAAGTAGACACTCCTTTAAAAATAAATAAATAAATCTTTAAAAAGAGAGAGAGAGAGATCTTCCATCTCTTGGTTCACTCCCCAAATGACTACAAGAGCAAGGCTGGGTCTGGCCCACATCAGAAGTCTGGAACTCCACCCAGTTCTCCCATATGGGTGGCGGGACCCAACTCCTCAAACCACTTCCACTGTTCTCCCAGGTGCATTCACAGGGAGCTGTATCTGAAGTGGAGCAGCTGGGGCTCGAACCAGTGCCCATAGGAGACGCCAGCATGGCAGCCGGGGGCTTCACCTACTGCTCCACATCGCCCCGTGGCCCTGGGCGAACACGAAGCCCATGCTGCCTGCTGTGCTGTGAAAACCAAGGCTTTTTGTCTTTGGGCAGGAATCTCAAGTCTTCTGCCAGCACCCATGAAACTGCAGCAGCTTGTTTGCTTGTGGATAATATGTGCAGGTCCTTAGGTCCCTGGGGACGGCGCCATCATTGGTTTCCTGGAGTGAGTTCCCATGAGGGTGAATTGTTGCAAAAGCCCGCACCCAACCCCTGAGTGTCTTTCTGACTTCCTGTTTCAAGGTGCGCTCTTTCCTCTTCCACTGGCTGCAGCCTGGCTGTCTGCCGTGATGTAATGCAGCCAGATATTCCTCTCCAGCGTTGCTCTGACCCTGGCTTCCTGCCCGTGGATCCTCGGAGCTGTGAGCTTAACAAACCTCTTTCCTTTACAGTGGTAGCCTGTTTCAGGGACCTCATTATAGTAATGGGAAGCTGATGCACTAGGGAACACACGGACCAGCTGAAGCACCTGGCAATGGTCTGTTCAGGCTATGTAACCAAGCACCACAGTGAACACTTACCTTTTTACGGTTCTGGACCTGGAACACCCACGATTGAGGTGCCAGCAGACCTGGTGTCGGGGAGGAACCGTCCTGGCTCACAAAGGGCTATGGTTTTGCTGTGCCTTCGCATAGCAGAAGGGTCCAGGCATTGCTCTGGGCTCCTTTACTTGAGTGCTGATTCCATCTCAGAGGCCCCAGCTGCAGATACTGTCACCTTGGAGAGCAGGCCTCAACATCTGAATTCTGGGAGACTCAAACAGTCTGGAGATGGCTAACTAGACACTCAGTAAATACTAGGCAGATGAGTGGATGCATGAGAGATTACTGGACCACAGAGACATGCATGGTCCCGTGTCTCTCTAGTTCCATTTTTCTTTGTCAAATTCATTTTTTTTTTACTGAACAAGCTAATATTCTTGACTTCTGAAGCAAGTTTTAGAATCAGTTATGAAACTGATTTTCTCTTTTATTACTTTTTTTTTAAGGCAGAATGACAGAGAGAAAGAGAGACACAGACAGCGGAGATCTTCCGTCTGCTGGTTCACTACCCAAATACCTGCCACACTCATGGCTGAGTCAAGCCAAAGCCAAGAGCCGGAAATGCAGTCCAGGTCTCCCACATGGGTAAGAGGGACCCAAGTACTTGGACCATCATCTGCTGCTCCCCAGGGTATGCATGAGCAAGAAGCTGGATTGGAAGCAGAATGGAGACAGACCCAGGGCTCCAGTGTGTGACGTAGGCATCATGAGCACATCTTTACTGCATCAAATGCCCATCCTTAAATTGATCTTCTTATTGGCAAAGGACCTGGTATGAAGTTGGCTAGCATGAGCCAGCTTTCCTCAGGACAATGTCATCCAGAGACTGAGGCCCTAGGTGCCCCAGTCTTGGCGGGGTTCCCAGCCATGGCCTCCTTCCCACTCTCCCATGTATTCCATGCCCTGGCCTGCCCACGGTGTGCCTCCTGCAGGTCCTACAGTGCTGAGCTCATCCATGACACAGAGCCTCACTATAGACTTGAAACAGGTTTTTTACTGCTTCTTCTCCAAGCTACCTCCTCCTCACCTGTCAAGATCCAATTCAAGGCTGGCGCCGCGGCTCACTAGGCTAATCCTCCACACTGCGGCGCTGGCACACTGGGTTCTAGTCCCGGTCGGGGCGCCGGATTCTGTCCCGGTTGCCCCTCTTCCAAGCCAGCTCTCTGCTGTGGCCCGGGAGTGCAGTGGAGGATGACCCAAGTGCTTGGGCCCTGCACCCCATGGGAGACCAAGAGAAGCACCTGGCTCCTGCCATCAGATCAGCGCAGTACGCCGGCTGCAGCGCACCGGCCGCGGCGGCCATTGGAGGGTAAACCAATGGCGAAGAGAAACCTTTCTCTCTGTCTCTCTCTCTCTCTCTCTCTCTCTCTCACTGTCCACTCTGCCTGTCAAATAAATAAATAAATAAAAAGATCCAATTCAAAATCTCCTTGTCCAGGGAAGCCAGTCTGTCCCCTTAGCCTTGACTGCGTTCCTGTTTCAGTCCTTGCAACTTTTTGTACTTTCCCTCTACAGTCCCTACCACAAATGCAGTGAAGTAATCATCTGTTTTATTCTTAAAAAAAAAGATTTATTTGTTTATTTGAAAGGCAGAGTTACAGAGAGAGGTAGAGACAGAGAGGTCTTACATCTGCTGGTTCGCTCCCCAGATGGCCGCAACAGCCACAGCTGGGCCAGCCCAAAGCCTGGAGCCAGGAGCTTCCTCTGGATCTCCCCCATGAGTATAGGGACCCAAGGCCTTGGGCCATCTTCTACTGCTTTTTCAGGCCATAGCAGAGAGCTGGATCGGAAGAGGAGCAGCCAGGTCTTGAGCCGGCACCCGTGAGGGATGCCGGCACTGCAGGCTGCGGCTTTACTTGCTATACCCTGTGTGATTCTTTAATATCTGTCTCCCTCACTTGACTGTAAGTTCTGGCTATCAGGGATCACAAGCGTGCTTCAAAATGTGTGTGGAAAAGTGAGATGAAAAGATTCATTTATTTTGGGGCCAGTGCTGTGGCATAGCGAGTTAAGGCTATGTTATGGGCGCCAGTTCAAGCTGCCCCACTTCTGATCCAGCTCTCTGCTATGGCCTGGGAAAGCAGTAGAAGATGGCCCAAGTCCTTGGGCCCCTGCACCCACGTGGGAGACCTGGAAGAGGCTCCTGACTCCTGGCTTCGGATCGGCACAGCGCTGGCCGTTGTGGCCAATTGGGGAGTGAACCAGCAGATGAAAGACCTCTCTTTCCACCTTTGCCGCTATAACTCTGCCTTTCAAATATACAAATAAATCTTTAAACAACAACAACAAAATTTCATTGACTTTGGTGTGTAAAACTTTGAAATCTGACATTGAGGTGTAGCAGATTAAGCTCAAGCTTGTGATGCTGGCATCCATCTCAGAGTGCCAGCTACAGTCCTGGCTAATCCACTTTACCCAGCTGCCTGCTAATGTTGCCCTCAGAGGACTGCTGCCACCCATGTAGGAGACCCAGAGGCAGTTCCTGAGAGGCAGAGGCAGAGGCACAGATAGTGAGCTCTTCCATCTGCTGCTTCACTCCCCAGATGGCTGCAACGGCTGGAGCTGGGCCGATCCGAACCAGAAGCCAGTTTTCTGGGTCTCCCACTTGTGTGCAGGGACCCAAGGACTTGGGCCATCTTCTGCTGCTTTCCCAGCTGCATTAGCAGGGAGCTGGACCAGAAGTGGAGCAGCCAGGACTTGAACTGGTGCCCATATAGGATGCTGGCACTGCAGGCGGTGGCTTTACCTACTATGCCACAGCGCCAGCACCCCACTCACTCTTCTTGGTGTGTTTGATTGGCAATCCAAATGCATGTGATTGGTTGATTGATTCCGTTATAGAAACTGAGTTATACAGAAATGTACCACAAGAGTCACTGTAGAAGATACGGCAGCGAGCGTATCAGTCAGGGCTTTTCCACCACCAGAGGCAGAAGTGCAGTGGCTGGGACACAAACTGGCGTCCAGATGGGATGCCAGCTTTGTAGACGGCCACTTTACCTGTTACACCGCAGTCTCAGCCCCAGTTACTAGTTTCACTGTTGACTTCTACTCAAAATCAAACCCACTCCTTGTTGACACAGAAACAGTCCTTATGAGAAGATGTAACCTGAAAACCAAAAACAAAATAGCTGCTTGTCAGGCAGAGGGAGAAGAATGGCACATTTTTTGTGTGTTTAAATTCACGTCCAGTCCATTGAACTTGAACTTTTATAATAATATTAAGCCCAGACTGTGTTTTTAATTATTTTACATTTACAGAATGTCTACTTTATTCTTTTCTATATATTTCCTTTTTTTTTTTTTTTTTTTTGACAGGCAGAGTGGACACTGAGAGAGAGAGAGACAGAGAGAAAGGTCTTCCTTTGCCGTTGGTTCACCCTCCAATGGCCGCCGCGGCCGGCGCACTGCGCTGATCCGATGGCAGGAACCAGGTACTAATCCTGATCTCCCATGGGGTGCAGGGCCCAAGTAGTTGGACCATCCTCCACTGCACTCCCTGGCCACAGCAGAGAGCTGGCCTGGAAGAGGGGCAACCGGGACAGAATCCGAAGCCCCGACCGGGACTAGAACCCGGTGTGCCGGCGCCGCAAGGTGGAGGATTAGCCCAGTGAGCTGCGGCGCCAGCTCTATATATTTCCTTTTTATTAAAGATTTATTTGTTTGTTTGCGAGGCAGAGTTACAGAGAGAGAGAGAGAAAGGTCTCCCATCCGCTGGATCACTCCCCAGTTGACTGCAACAGCCAGAGCTGGGCTGATCCGAAGTCAGGAGCCAGGAGCTTCTTCCAAGTCTCTCACACGGGTGCAGGGGCCCAAGGACTTGGGCCACCTTCCCAGGCCATAGCAGAGAGCTGAATAAACTGGAGCAGCGGGGACTCGAACAGGAGACTATATGGGATGTTGGCACTGCAGGCGGTGGCTTTACCTGCTGCGCCACAGCACTGGCCCCTAAACTTGAAATTAAAAACTATCCATTATTAGCCTCTCAACTCAGCTTACAATTATTTGTTTATAAATCAAGGATTCTTTGCATTAAAACTTTAAATACAGTCACCCTCACTACTTCTTGCTATTAATGCTCAATTTGTTTGTAATATCTTTACATTTCAAGTTAGTGCTTCATTTATTTATTTATTTATTTATTGACAGGCAGAGTTAGACAGTGAGAGAGAGAGAGACAGAGAGAAAAGTCTTCCCTCCATTGGTTCATCCCCCAAATGGCCGCTATGGCCGGCGCACTGTGCCGATCCAAAGCCAGGAGCCAGGTGTTTCCTCCTGGTCTCCCATGCGGGTGCAGGGCCCAAGCACTTGGGCCATCCTCCACTGCCTTCCTGGGCCACAGCAGAGAGCTGGCCTGGAAGAGGAGCAACCGGGACAGAATCCAGTGCCCCAACTGGGACTAGAACCCGGTGTGCTGGCGCCACAGGCGGAGGATTAGCCTAGTGAGCTGCAGCGCCGGCCAAATTAGTGCTTCTTTATAATCAGCGATTAAGATTTTTAGTATTTATCATATACAACATGATGTTTTGAAAGATGTAAACAGTGTAAAATGGTTTAATTGAGCAAGCTAATATATCCAAGGCATCATCTACTTGTCATTTTTTTTTTTTTGTGGTAAGAACCCTGAAAATCTACTCTTATCAGTTTCCAAAATACATCTATCAGATACAGTCACCATATTGTTTCGAGAGCTTCTACACTGTTCTGCTCTCTCATTCTTGGAGTGCAACTTTTTTAGAATCCACGTGACTTGGATGTGGATGTGGTCTGGCCTGTCCCGAGCCTCTGGGTGTTGACATGTAACCTAATCTGACTGTCCACAGGCGGTATCTGTGTGGAGATGAAATCCCCACTGCAAGGCAGTCAGAGGTGAACATGGCATCCGACGCTGACGTTGGAGGTGGAGCCCCAGCGGGTGTTAGGATGAGAGGAAGTCACTGGGAAGAGTCCATGAGTCCCCAGGCGCTTTATGAGAAGAGGGACAATGGAAGGGACACAGCTGGACATGCATGCCCCTGTCTCTTGCCATGGGAGGCCCTATGCGCTCCTGGGACTCTGCCAGCAATAAGGCCATGGCCATTGGTGTCCCCTTGACTTGGCCATGTAGAAACATGAGCCAGAAGAACTCTTCTTTTCATAGTAGATTGCCTCAGATGTTTCATTATTGTAATGAAAGACAGACTAAGGCACATACATAAATGAGGTCTTGTCATAAATACGTAGGTTTATTTCTGGGCTATCTATTGTATCACGCTAGTCTATGTGTCTGTTTTTGGTGCCAGTAGGATGCTGTTCAGATTCCTACAGCTTTGTAGCATTTTTTGAAATCAGGGAGTGTCCCCAACACTGTTGTTTTAGCTCACGATTTTTTTGTTTAGTCAGAGTCTTTTATGGTTCAATATGAATTTTTTTTTTGGCTTTGATGAATTTATTGTTCCTATAATATAGCCAGTTAAAAGGTTCAATATGAATTTTAAGATTTTTTTCTATTTCTGTAAAACATATCATTAGAAATTTGGTAGGGATTGCATTGAGTCTGTAGATCTTGTTGGGTAGCACAGATATTTTAACAACATTAATTCTTCCAATTTATACAAATAGTATTTCTGCCCATTTATTTGTGTCTTCTTTAGTTTCTTCTTTAATAATCTAGTTTTCGGTGTACAGATCTTTCATCTCATTGGTTAAATTTACTCCTAAGTGCCAGCGCCGTGGCTCACTAGGCTAATCCTCCGCCTTGCGGCCCCGGCACACCGGGTTCTAGTCCCGGTCAGGGTGCCGGATTCTGTCCCGGTTGCCCCTCTTCCAGGCGAGCTCTCTGCTGTGGCCAGGGAGTGCGGTGGAAGATGGCCCAAGTCTTTGGGCCCTGCACCCTATAGGAGACCAGGATAAGTACCTGGCTCCTGCCATTGGATCAGCGCGATGCGCCGGCCGCAGCGCGCCAGCCATTGGAGGGTGAGCCAATGGCAAAAGGAAGACCTTTCTCTCTGTCTCTCTCTCTCACTGTCCACTCTGCCTGTCAAAAAAAAAAAAAAAAAATTATTCCTAAGTGTGTGTGTGTGTGTGTGTGTGTAGTTAGCTATTGGGAATGGGATTATTTTCTTGACTTTTTTCAGATAGTTCATTGATTATGTATAGAAAAATATTACTGATTTCTGTACGTTGGTTTTGAATCTTGCTACTTTCCTAAATTTACTAGTTTTAGCAGTTTTGATGGCATCATCAGGTTTCCCATATGTAAGATCATGTCATATCTGCAAATTGGGGCAATTTAACTTCTTTTCCAACGTGAATACCTTTTGTTTCTCTGATGTGTTGTTGGGTTTGCTTTGTTAGCATTTTATTGAGGGTTTTTGCACTTTTGCAAAAATATCAGAGATATTAGACTGAATGGTTTTTCTTGTAGTGTCCTTATTTGGGCATCAGGGTAAGGCTGGCCTTATAAAATGTGCTCGGAAGTGTTCCTTCTTCCGTTTTTCAGAAGAGTCGAGGAGGCTTGGTATTGGCTTTTCCTTGAATGTTTAGTAGAAGTCAGTAGTGAAGCCGTCAGGTTTAAATGTCCTTGACTTTTTATTATTGATTCAATCTCCCTACTCGTTATTGGTCTGTTCAGATTTCCTAATTCTTCACGATTCAGTCTAGGTAGCTGTATGTGTCTAGGAATTTCTTAACTTCTTCTAGGCCATCCAGTTTGATGGCATATAATTACTCATTATTCATACGAATCTCTTAGAATCCTTTGTGCTTCACTTTCTCAGTCTAGCTAAAGGTTTGTCACATTTGTTAGCCATTTCAAAAGACCAACTCTTAGTTTCATTTATCTTTCCTATTGTTTCTCTAGCCTCTATTTCATTTCTTTCTTTATTATTTCTCTCCTTCTACTTACCTGGGCTGAGGTTTTTCTTAGTTCCCTGAGATGTAGCATTAGGCTGTTTATTTCATATCTTTCTTCTGCGTTCATTTGGCTATTTATTGCTACAAATTGCACTTATAACTGCTTTTTGCTGCATCCCAAAATTTTCATATGTTGTTTCCATTTTCATTTGCTTCTGATTTTTTTTTCACTTTCCTTTAATTTTCTTCTTTGACTCACTGGCTGTTTGGAAGGGGGTTGTTTAATTTTTTTATTGCTTACAGAGTTTCTATAACTCTTCTTGTTTCTTAATTTACTTTTTATTATTTGAAAGGCAGAGAAAGAGGGAGAGAGGGGGAGATGGAGAGAGAGAGAGGGAGAGAGAGATCCTGCTTTTGATTTCTAGTTTCATACCACTGTGGTCAGAAAAGATACTTGATAAGATCTTTACTTTTCTTCAATTTGTTGACTTGCGTGTGGCCTAAATTCTGGCCTATCCATGTGTGTCTGAGCCAAATGTGTATTTTGCTGCTGTTGGAGAGAATATCCATACTTGTCTGCTGGGTCCATTTGATCTAATGGATCTACAATGTCTGTATGGATTATCTGTCTGGATGATCTGTCCATTGCTAAAAGCAGAGTATTGAAGTCCTCTATAGTTGTTGTACAGGGCCGTCTTTCTCTCACTTCAGACTTGTGAATATTTCCTTTATACCTTCTGATGCTCCAATGTTGGGTGGATTCATATACAAGTATTTGCAATTGTTATATTCTCTTGATGAATCAGACCATTTATGACCATATTTATTTACTTTTGTTTTACTGTTTCGTACACATTTTAAGTTATTTATCTATTTTAATTTTTAAAGTATTTTCAAAAATTTATTTAAAAGAACTACAGAGAGAGAGAGAGAGAGAATCTTTCACCCATTGGTTCACACCCCGAATGACTACAATGGCCAGGGCTAGGCTAGCCAAAGCCAGGAGCCTAGAACTCCATGATGGCTTCACACATGCGTGACAGGGGCCCAACACTTGGGTGATCTGCTGCTGCTTGCCCAGGCTCATTAGCAGGGAGCTGGATCAGAAGTGGAGCAGCCAGGACTCAAACTGGTGTTTATAGGATGTGTGCAGCAGCTTAACCCATTGTGCCACAATGCTGGCCACCATTTATTTATTTTAAATGGCAGTGAGAGGAGCCAGTGCTGTGGCATAGTAGGTTAAGCCTCTGCCTGTGGCACCGGCATCACATATGGGTACCAGTTCGAGTCCTGGCTGCTCCACTTCTGATGCAGCTCCTTGCTGATATACGAAGTGCTTGGACCCCTGCACCCACGTGGGAGACCCAGAAGAAGCTCCTGGCTCCTGGCTCTGGATTGGTCCAGCTCCAGCCATTGTGGCCATTGGGGAGTAAACCAGAGGACTGAAGACCTCTCTCTCTGT